TCAATCCAAGAACAACGTTTGTAAAAATGTTCTAATAGAAGATTTGTGCGAATGTCATGCCTTCTTTTTGATTGAAGATTTATGATTCTGTTGTCAGGAGTTCGGATTACCAACATTGACGTAAAAAAAGTAGGTACATAACAATAAAATGCTATGAGAAAAATCTTGTAATCCTGAAAATATTCGTTTTCGTTTTATGCTGCATAAAAGTTAACACACCAATAAATATAAAAAAGCTGATTCATGATTAATTTTATTTACAATGATATCGCTTAGTATTTTTATAACCCAATTAAATACTAAACCAAAACTGTTGACATATCATTTGCTGCAATCAGAGTTGGATGGTGTATATACGATTCAAGTCAAAAAATTAAAATCAAATTACTAAAATATTAGAGTCCGTATAAAGCACTTTGATATTTAATTTTTTGATTTTACCATAATGAGACAAGAAGGCACTATTATAAGGTATTTCTATTATACTAGCTTTTGCTCGTGGCTCCACCTGCGTGTATGTCGGTTTAAGCATCAAGAGGTAACAGATAGACAAACATTAGGGAGGGGACAGTAGGGACTAGTAGCGATGTACATTCACTTACCTATTTTCTTTGTTATAGGTACTTAAGTCAAATCAAAAGAATACCAGTTTATTGTTATAACCGTAACTAAAATTTTAATAACGCATAATGGTACATATTTATGTCTTCTGTGTCTTCTGTTAATCAAATAATAAAAATAAAAATCTTCTCAATTAAGGGAAAACATTCCATATGGTTAGATTGCGGCAGTAGCCGATTTTCATTGAGGCACAAGTGACATTCAAGTCCTTAAAAGCTATGTAACTCATACACAGAACAGTGATAGGTACGTGAGCCCATAGGTGCTTTTATTATGTGTTTGCGACAATATGTGCGTGCAACATGTAGTAGAGTAAGACTAAAATAGATTTACTAACTACAAAAATAATTTTATGATTATAATATTAGGTCCTATGACCTATGAAGTTGGAGATTTGTATGCAAACTTGAAAAAACAATGTTTTTTATTTTATTTTAGCTAATCAAAGTACTGGCCCAAATTATATATACAATTTTACCTATTTGATTTCAGTTTGTTTATCCCTTTTCTCTAGACTGTCTGTTGGACGGGAGGCGATGAAGTCAATGAAAGCGTTTTATACCGCCTTTCGGGTGTTGAATTTTTTCCCACTTAAAAAGTGTCTAAATTTCGAAAAAAGTAGAAAACTGTTGAGGCAAGGTCCGATGAGTACGGTGGTAGATTTTAGATGGTCTGCCGTGGTTGTTGAATTGCGAGTTTCTAGATCATTGTTTGCAATTATTCGCAATAGACATTTGCCGTCACTGCTGTACCGTTCGGTAAGAAGCTGTAATGGACAAGTCCGGCAATTTTCCATCGGGCAGTCACCATCATCTTCCTATGAGTAATCTTTTTTTTAGCGCACTAATGGCTCGTTCTTTAACTCAAAATTTCCAGATTTACAAGGATTGAACCAATAATGGACCGTGTTTATGCAAATAGTGTTAGGCCCGTATACGTCATTAATGTTTAGTGTTGTTTGCGCAGCGGTATTTCCACGTAGGAACTCATATTCGAAAATAGTGCGCTTTTTCATCTCATCCATGGCGCCAAAAACTACCATAATTTCACAAAAACAAAACACTATCAAAACCAAAAGAAAGAATTTTAAATTAAAAGAACATGGCTTTCGATTTTTTTAACAACTCACGCACTAGGAATTTATCCTGTGTCGCTGGGGAGTTTACAAACATACATGAAACGGACCAATCAACAGATAATTAAATCTGAAAATGCTGGTTTTAAAAATCTGCAATTAAATACTTAGTAGTAGGGGAGCCCATGATGCTAAATGGGAATTTACTCGAGCGTCATGGGGACCTATTGCACTTGAAAGATTAGGTGATAGAATGAATAAGAGTTATATAATGTTTCCACTTTCAGCGGTGGCAAAATATATACAGGTTTTCAGAAATGAAAGGGGAAGAAATCGAAAAGAAAAAAATTTGGCGTATCAGATATTTTGGGGATATGTTCCTATTGAAAGGTCTGACGATTTTAAAATGACACAAGCTGGTAGCGAGTTTTCGAAAATGCAAAGTAGCAAAACTTAAAAAAAATACAAAGGTGGTAAAACCTTTTTCACACCGTTGGCAACCCTGGCTTGAAATTGTGATTTTCTTATAGCCTAGCACTAGGGCTACCTCAGATTAACGGGTTATCCATTACTTAAGACAGACCCTGTCTATGTGCCTATGTCCTAGAGCCGCACTTTATGTGACCTCACTACTATTCCTCTTTCACCGAAACCAATCAAGTTAGCTGCTTTGTATTAAATTTTCATTTACCTACATATTAGCGGTTTTGATTCTTTTCTCTAACTTTTGAGTGGAGACTTTATCTTTGACCCTTTTTTTGGTTCTACATTAAACTAGAGAATCTAAATAATGTTTTAACTTGAGAACACAAGAAGTATCAAAGTAAGTATCATCATATATAGAGGACCGAATCTTTAGATTGGTTTAGATTGCATTAATAAAACAAATTTTACAATTCCAACAGATTCTGGACCTTAGTATTAATTAAGTACAACTGGTATCTTTTTCTGTTCCATAAAATGTCTAAAATAGTGGTATTTATGGACAGACGATTCATACTTTTCGAGGTACGCTAATGAAGAGAGAAAATATTTAAGGCATTAATAAGACTCTTTTATTTTCCATTAACAAAATCCATTTAGACATAATATTTCCATTAGTACTGTCTTGTCGGTGTAGACTATTAATGTAGTTTTTTATTAGGTACAGTTATGGAAGAATGACAGCCATTTGAGCTAATATTCACATTACAAGATTTTAATAGTATTTGAGAGACGAAAGGTACTAATAAACTCTAGTAAATAGAAAAAAAATCTAATGTGAGATAAAAGAGCGATTAAACTTATAAGGTTTAGAATTTATAGGGAGTACCCTACTATTTAGCTGAAATAACCATTTATTTTACGGCTTCACTGGACCCATCGGTTGAATGTTATACGAAGGCTCGTTACTATCCCAAAGGGTTACGCTAGCATGTTCGAAAAAGTCAATAATTTGTATAATACGTAGATAACATTATCACAGATCCGGCTTCCCTAAGTAATTAAAAGTAGCTACCTAAAACAGTAAGTATGGACTTGACTACTATTTCAAGCAACGGTGATAAAACCAAAGACTCAATAATTACACCTGTTAGCGCCCCGTAAATGAGTTTTTCAAGCTAGATAGAACTCTATTACTTTCCTTAGTCAATTTACAGGAACTTTTTTTAGTTATCAAATATTAAATTCTAAAGCAGCTTCATTCAATTAGTGGAAAAAATAAACCTATATATTATTTACTTCACAGAAACAAATTAATATTTGAGTTTTGAGGTGTATTATACAACTTACGAATACAGTACCACCACAAACATGACTACATGTTTGTGGTGAAAACATGTAGTCATGTTAAAATAGACAGGAATATACTATTATATATATACAGGGTTACTGGGTAAGTCGACTTACTTAGTAGTAGTCGTACTTTAGCGGGTTGTTGTATCCATTATTACGAATAGATTTCACTATAAAATACCAGATCCCAAACCTAGCGATTTCAAGACATTGTACTTTACATTTTAAAACAATACATCAACAACACAAAACGGTAAAAAAAAATAAGTTCTAAAATGAAAAAAATCTGCAATTATTTTCGGAAAATAATAAGATATTTTCCGAAAATAATTGCAGAAATTTTGTCTAATACATTTTTCATTTCATTGTGTTGTTGATGTATTGTTTTAAAATTTTCATTATCAAAATTCTAGTTAACTTTACAAACTGGGCCGAAGCAGATGGTTGTTGACAATTAAAAGAAATAAATTAGTAAAAAATCCTTTTAAATTAGTAATTAATTAAATTATTAAACTAATTAACAACCATTTTATTGCATTTCTTTTCGAGATATAAAATTGCTAATTGGATCTGTTATTTTAGAAGATCAATCAATTGAATAACGTACATGTAGTACTGACGTCGAGACGTGCCTTCCCCGTGGGAAGTTTTAATTAATCACAGTAAATGTAATCGATCTCAGCAGAAATGCTATAATACCGCCGTGCGCTGCCTCAAATAAAGGAATAAATCTAGAGCAAAAACAATCATTACTTTTAGCTTTACAAAAAAGTTCGCGACACCATATTTCTTAGTTAAATGTCTCAGCCAAAATTATGTTTTTTTTTTAAAGTAAAATAAATTTTACCAGATTAAGTTTGGATACAGGTTTCACGTATACTTTACGAATTCTTAACAAATAGCTAAATTACAATAGAAATTTCATGGAGATAAAGTTTACTTTTTACAGCATGTTAATTGAGTCAGAGTCAGAAGATAATGCAAAATAAAACCAATAAGTCGATAAAATTATGGCTTTGTCCCTGCCGCTGCCGTGCGAGAATAGTAGGAGTGTCAGGGAGGTGCGGGGCGCAGAAATACATGCCTTAATAAACTGCTGAACAGTTAAAAAATTACACAAACAAATATTGCATTCCGGAGCGGGTGACTAGTATGCCATGAAAAAAACTAAGCGAGTTACCTCGTACATTACATGTAATATACAATCTAAAATCTTCGTTAAGTGTTATTTGGATTTCTACAACGGGAATTAATGATTTGGCGGTGTTACAAAATGCAAGAGATGCACCACATCTATCGCATTTTATAACACTTTTAATCAATTTATGGAAAGCACTTAAAAACCAGTATACAGTTCTTAAAGAACTGACCTTCCGTAAGTGAAAAAATAAAAATACATAGATAGTTATGTTTTTTAATATATTTAAATAACAAAACAAACAATTAATAGCTAAATTCATTCTTGTAAATACACAATTACTGCAATTATTTAGTTTTGTAAACAGCGTAAACTCACTTTATCACAGATTCAAGGCTCCACACGAACGGCAAATTTAGTCGTATCACACAAACAAACATCATTTATACATTTCATTAACCAGTTTTTATGAACATGTCTCACATCTGCAGGTAATTTTCTTTTGAAATTTTTTATTTTCTCGAATTCTATACTTTTATTGTTGTGAAGAAGAAAATCAACGTCCAATGAACGGATAGCTTTGACAACTGTTCCTCCATATGCTATCCAGTGCCTTTCGAAATGGTTTCGTTCATCTTCGGGAAAACTTAGGAAATCTGGATAGAATCCCAGTTTTTTGCCTTTATATACATCAGGTAGGGGATTTTCTGGCATAAATGGAAAGTCTTTACTATCTATTTCATCCACGCTCTTATTGTTTTCATCTGGCATATCAACGTCTGACGAATCTTTATCTGATGAGTTTGACTTTTCTAATTTTACTTTAGGCTTTTTCTCTTCCCTTTCAACAACATCTTGCATATCAACGTCTGACGAATCTTTATGTAAGGAGTCTGACTTTTCGTATTTTACTTTATGCTTTTTGTCTTCTCTTTTAGCAACATCTTGCATTTCAACGTCTGACTTTTCTAATTTTACCTTAGACTGTTTCTCTTCTTTTTTAACAAGGAACTTATCTATTCTATTTTTAGGGCTGATTTTAGTAACTTTTGTTGGACTTTCTTTGGTTTTAGAAGAATTAGGTTTTATTTTTTTTAAAGGGGGTTCATCGTTTGCGGCATCGGCTAATTTATTCAAAAGTGATACGTCTGTTTTTTCTTTAGAAGTTTTGTACAAATGTTTCAGCTCTTCTAAGTTGGTTGCTGATTTCCAATCCTTGTCGTCTCGTATTTGCGTTACTCTTGGAAACCTTACTGAGATACCATCAGCTGTGTGTAGGTTGGCTTTTGTTAATTCGGTTCCTGAAAATGTACCATAACATGATTTATTACAATACTTATATAATACTCGATATGCGACTCTTTAGACAGATAGATTGGAAAATGGTAACAAAAAGGCATACATTTTTAACTAATATAAATAGCAACTTTCATAATGAACTACCTGTGCTCACCGTAGCTCATTTGTGTGTTTATATTTTATGCACTGAACCATAAATAGCAGAGCAAAATTAACAGGATCAACAGACGGAAAATTTAACTCTCAAATCACACATACACCAGTTTCATCATGTGTCACAAGTATCCATAAGATAATATGATAACTGCTTAAATATATATATAAAATAAAAGAGACTCACCAGTAATTTCCCAAACAGGTTGTTTTTTAGGATCTGCAGCAACAAAATCGGGCACCATCCCTTTATTACAATCTAACCAAGACGGCACTTTATTGCTGTCTTGCGATATTTTAACCATAAGCGGTGTCAATTCCTTCTGCAGCCGTTCCAATGTACTGTCATCGTGACCCGTGTGAACCTTAGTAACGGTAACCCATTTGTTTCTTCGCGTGTCATGACAGCCCATCAGAAATACTGACATCATGCCACCCTTTTTGCCAGTGCCTGTAATGAAAATGAATCGTAATATTACTTTCTTTATTTTATACTGGTATTTGATTATAAATGTAAAAAAGGAGAAGTTTCATGTCGTTTTGTTACATACATCTACATGCACACACTCTTTTATTCCCGAAGGCCATATTAAACAGCAGCATATTAAACGACTATAATTTTGGTCAACCGGGCACATATATTTCTAAATACATTCACATTGTAGATAAATTACACCCAGATACAGAACAAATGATCGTACTCATCAAACAATATCTGTCCTAGGTGGGGACCGAACCCACAACATCTGGCTTAGTAACCAAAATCACTAACCAACCAAAAGACTAGGTTTTGTAACACAATTGTGGAGTTTCTCTCTAGTATAATTCCTCACAGGCTACTTCGGTATGTTTTAGTTGTCTACTCTCTATGGAGAAAAGTTGTTTAAATTAGCAGAACTTTACAGAAAAAAACAACTGTTGATGGGACCGTACCCACCAACAACAACAGTTGTCTGTTGTTGTTGGTATGCATTATAAGTACCATTATAATACAGAGTATCAGATTATGGATACAATACATTTTCCTTCAATTGTAGTGTTGATAACATACATGACATTACATAACATTTAAAGCATACCTTTGCATTTCCTTTTGTTGCTGCCAAGCTGCACTAGTCACAGTCAGAAGTTGACCTGACAGGCAGTCATTCCCGTTAGTTAACACATGCAGGAATTATTATTATACATACATGTATATTATAATCTTTATGAAGCAACAGGAATAAGAAATAAGGAAAGCAATATATAAGTTATATAATAATTGTAATATAATATATACAGCCTTGGCCAAAAGTATTAGGCACCCCAGAAAAATGCACAATTCATGTTTACTAACTGAACAATGAATAAATGCTTATCTTAGATGGCATGCCCGGGGTCACTAATAACTTCCTAGAAAAGCAAGCAGCTATCTGTTATGGTCATAAAACACCTGGTGACTGAAAACAAAGGATTTGTTTTAATGCGTTCTTATCAGTTTATGTTTGGTCACTTGTGTTGAGGACTCTAACGAGTAAACAAGCTTTTATTTCTAACATAGTGATTAAATGAACGCGTAATTTATTTAAAAATGCCGAAAAGAAGTGAAATTAGTTTGGAAAACCGAGTAAAAATACAATTGTTCCATGAACAAGGGAAGTCGCAAAAAGAAATTGCTAAGTAAGTGAAATGTTCGCGTTGCGCTGTGCAATCTGCTATCAAACGGTTTGCTGAGACTAGCAGTAACGCTAATAAACCAAGAACAGGCAGAAAAAGTGTGACTTCGAAGCGCGAGGATAGAAAATTAATACGCGAATCTATGAAAGATCGGAAGAAAACATCATCAGAGCTTGCTGCTACTTTGTCCGAAGAGGCTGGAAAGCCAATAAGTGCTCGGACCACCAGAAGAAGACTTGGAGAAGCAGGCTTAAAAGGATGCAAAGCCTCCTGGCTTCTTCCTGAACACCTGGCTTTCAGAAGCTAACAAAAGAAAACGACTTGAATGGGCTCTACGGCATTAACATTTTACTGAGGAAGATTGGGCCAATCTGGTATGGTCTGACGAATCTAACTTTGAGATAAGTAAATTTTACTGCTTTTGTTGTTAATAATCATGGTCAGTTATTTATTTAACTAAAATAATAAAAATTAAGGCAGTTTAAAAAAAAGTGTTTTTTTTTTCTTTTTTCAACAGATATTTGGGACGCCAGGTGTGACCTGCGTGAGGCGACGTGTGGGCGAAGAATACCATCGTATTCTTCGCCCACACATGGAGGAGGCAGCATAATGATCTGGGGCTGCATGGCTACTGATGGGGTTGGCGAAATGTTTGTTTGCGAAGATCGTATGAACGGCGAAAAGACATTGACTTGTTTGATTGGCCAGCGTAGTCACCAGATTTGAACCCAATTGAACATCTTTGGAGCATTTTGAAGCGCAAGATTAAAGAGCATAGTATCACATCGAAAACGGCATTAAAAAATGCGTTAGTACAAGAATGGCATGCCATTACAAGGGAGGATTGTACTAAGCTTGTACGCAGCATGCCAGCTAAAGTTGGTGCAGTAATTAAATCCAAAGGTGGACCGACTAGATTTCAAGTTTTTTTCATTCTTTTTTGTGTAATTTAATGGTAATAAATCAATTCAAAAAGTATAAGTTGTTTTTTTCCTTTATTTGAAGTAAAATGTAGGGTGCCTAATACTTTTGGCCAAGGCTGTAGTTTATAAGACTTAATATAATATATTATTTACTAGATAGATGGAAAATACAACTGATTTGTATGTCTGTGAACCATATTCCTTAGTTGTGGTTTTCATAAATATTTTAAGCATATAGTTTTTGTTAAAAAATGAGGTTAGCACAATTTATATTCTCTAACATGACACAGTAGTTAAAACCATTGAAATTCCATATAATATGGATGTTTAGATTGTTCAGTAAAGTAACTAAGCAAAAACATTTATTCTAGAAACATATTGATTTTTTTAGTTTCATGTCTAGGATATACATATCCCATCTTTGTAAAATGACAGAAGTAAAAGTATTCTGATGGAGTGTTATGACTAACAAAAAATATTAAAAAAACCCTTGGCATGATAGCAGCAGATCTATATAGCATGTTAAATACTACATAAGTACCTACCAAACCAAGCTCCCAAAACAACAAGATCAGCGGTATCAGCCATTGCGCCATCAAATAGATAATCTTTCTTCACTTTGAGCCAATGTCTCTTGCCCGGCTCATAAGTAGACTCCAAGTCTTTTAATACTAAACCTTCTAACCCAAGTTCTAGTACCTGAAATTGTGAAAAAGAATATTTAGTTACTTTTTATATTATTAACTTCAGTTAGGTTAGATTGATATACTACATCAAGCCAATTACAGGTTTTCACATTATCAAAAACACATATTATAACATGTGAAAATGATTGTCTGATGGTGCAGTGGTAGCGATGTCCAAATTACTATTATTATATTGTTAGTGAAGAATCACTAACCACTACTATGGCACTTTTAGGAATCAAAACCTCAGCTTAGTCAGGAGACAAAGCTGAAGTCTTGATTACCACCTACAAATATTGTGCACATTGATTTCTTCTGTGTTTGGCTGTTCTTTATCCATAACATTTATGTATTTAGAAATATCTAAGTATTTTTGTCAGCAGTCTTGTTACCACAGCAAAGGTTCTGCCTAGTTTGGGATTACAGCACTTTTGTTAGGTAATCATATTATAATATTTACAGCATTAAGTTTAATTGATAAATATGCTATACTAACTGGGATTTCAAAATAAGGTTAGTGACAAAGAATTTATTTTAAAGACTATTTAAATTTAAAGTACTTTACTTATTAATCTATTGGTTAATTATATTTAAGGGACTAATTAAATTATCAAATACTGCACTTTGGCTCTGAACTGTTATAAAGTAAGCTTTATTATACACCATATAATTAATGGACATATATACATTGTTGGTGAAAGCTAGTATTATGTGTATAGTCTTAGCTAAAAGCGCTATCTGCCAAGGTGGAAATATAGCGGTAACTTATTAATTAGCGGTACTTATTTTTTAACAACTGTCTGATAGCAAAGTGAATGAATACCATACCTCAGCAATCATCTTAGCTAGATCTGATGGCTTCTCAATCAATTTCTGTTCAGAAAACATAACATGATTTGTTACTTCAACCATATTGTCGAGAAGAAACTGTCTTCTCTTCCTTATGGGTAAGTCTATTAATACTTGGCCATTGTAAAATAAACAATCGAATACAAACAAACACACTTGTGCATCTTTGAATTCTGATTGCTTATGAACACCCAGAGTACCAAATGGTAATGGTTTTCCGGTATTCACATCAACCATAAGCACTTCAGCATCTAAAATTAGGTCCGTTCCTTTAGGAAAAGCTTGCGGTAAATAATCCTTGAAATGACTGACTTTATGTGCCATTACAGGCTTTAAGGCCCTTGAAAAATATTTGAACTCCTTCCCCTTCTTATGAACTTGAACCCTTTCACCATCATATTTAATTTCAGAAAACATTCCATTAGGGCATTTTTTCATTGCCATTTCTATAGACTTGCAAGCCTCAGCTAACATTGGCAAAATGGGTGTCATAAGAGATAGTTTTGCTTGAAAACCCTTCTGCATAGCATCCTTGTGTTTTACAGTACTGCTTTCAGATAAAATTCTATCTAAAACCATATTAAGGTCTCGGGATGTTTGAAAAACGCTATAAGCATCTGGGTGAACACCTTCGAGTATATGTTTAGGTCCTGCATTTATTCTCAAATCACCTTTTATCAATCTAATGAGCATTTTTAAATCATTAGCAGTACATTTCTTTACAATTTTCTTAAAATGGTAAATTTGTTCTTCTTCTTTAGTCAGTTTCGATAAATCCTCTAAGAATTGGTCAATTTTTTGTATTGTAAGTGTACTATCTTTTGCTGGTTCAACTTTTGATTTTAAAAAGAAATGATGAATAGTTTCAGCAACATCTCCTTGTTCTAAATGAGTTAACATGTCATCATGATCCATACCAAATATTTTTGAAAACAATTTAACCAATTGTTTACTTTTTAAATTATAAACTCTTTTTGATACCTGTGGTAACAATAACTTACACCATAAAGTAAGGTCGCCTTGAAATGAGTTTTCATTAGTGCCATTTCTGAAGAAATCATTGACAACTGCTGTTTTATCTGTGTAAGCATCTACTCTTGAAATCTTTTTGCAGAGTTTAAAAAATGTAAAAAACTTGTCATCATCAGTTTCCACTTCCTTTTTACAACTGTCAACAACATCTTTACTTGTACTAGAGATATCTATACTAGGTTTAGGGGCAGCAACATTTTTTATCACTTTTGCTGTGTATTTTCCACTATTTTTATCTGCATACAGTTTCTCCATTTCATTGAGCTTCTTTAATATAAATTCCTGGTCGTCTATACTTATATTCTCCCAATTGCCAATATCATCAATAGAATCTACACGTTTAGTAGCGGGCCGCTGTTTTAATAACACATTCATGAAACAATCTACATGATACCATGATTTCATACTTTGGCCTTCCCCGTATGGACTGGCTACCAGTTTGGCCAGTCGTAACTCTCCACTAGGACAGTTAGTTTTACATCCTTTACAAGAAGCCCTGCCACTTTTAGCTCTATCAACAAAAAATGGTGTTGATTCCGCCATAATTATCCGAGCCTATGTACAATTTTCAATCATATGTAACATCAAAATTAACATATTAATCGTATAATTTGATAATCAAAACATGTGTGACGTGAAACACTTCATGACAAATAGCTTGTAAATTTTATTTTGTACTGTCAGTCATGAATGACAGTTGAATGACAGTTTGTCAACTTTAAATTAAATCTAAAGTAACACTGACAAGTTGTAGAGCTGTTATTTGACGATAATATTTGACTCAAACTTCATTTGTAATAAACAAGAACAAAACACTGAATAATTCACACAGTATAATTTTATAATAACAAATTATTACTTGCAGAAGGTATTCTATCAGCTATCACACTAGTTCATTGTTAGGACTCCATGAACAGTTTCAGAAAGGTAGTAGATAGCCGACGCAACACTATTGACGTTTCTTTTCACGCATGCGCATGTGCAAATCTCGTAAATATTTCTAAGGAAATTGCTAGTCTGTTAATTTCTACTATTCAATTAGACTAGGTTGTACTTGTAACTAGTCAATGCCTAGGTAATTGAATTGTAATATTAGTCTTCTGTATTCACTAGTGAAACAAAACATGTTTATTTGCCTATGTTATAGGAAACAATTTGCCACTGCATTATATTTCACATCACACTATTAAAGACCACAAATATTCTTCAGAAATAAACACTTATAGGACCACTTCGTTGTCCGGTTGTCTGCCTGTCAAGAAAGTCTAGTCTTTCTCAGGAACGAGCGGAAGTATCAAATTAAAATTAACATCAAATATGTATGTCTTACAATGTCGACGGTTTCTTGGTGCTACCATATTATTATATTGTAAGATTTCGCAGGTACATGGAAACCTATAGCGTACTTCAGTTACCCTAAAATTTTAAAATTGGCGAACAGCTAAGTGTAAGCACAACTAGAGAAAATTTCATAAAATTGTTAATTTGCTAATACATCACAAAATAAATGTTTTTTTGTAACACAAACTTATAGTTTTTACATATACGAGTATTTACGTACGTACGGGCGAGTAACTTAGAACAAACAAGTAAAGTTTAGAAAAACTTTAGGTCACATAGAAAAAACAGACAAAAATATAGGAAAAGAAATTCCCGAGATGAATATATTATACAATCTACATACAAATTAGTGCCAGTACGACTTAAACTTATTTTAAGGTTTTATAATTATTTGGTGATTTGATTACCAATCAAATAAATATTAAGTGATGCAATGCTGGTGCAATTTATTAAACTCCGAAACAAATATTACAAACTACGTTTCTCTTTATTTCCAGCATCATCATGTCACCAGGAGTTCAGCAGCGACGGCACGAAGCACGGCACGCTGACGTCACCACACTACCCTTCGCCGTATCCTCCGAACACTCATTGCCATTATGAGTTCTTCGGGAGAGGAAAAGAGCGAGTTAGATTAATTTTCCAAGACTTTTACTTGTATAAGTCTCCTGATGGATCTACAGAGTGAGTATAAATGTTTACTTTCACTTGTTTGTTGAATTCAGGAATTAGGCCCTATAATTTTAATCCAGTTTCATAAAATTACTATGATATATTTACATGTTGACTGTAAGAAAAGTCTTTCTATGAAAATTAAATGACAATTACGTGTCGACCACACACACATACGGTAACATGTCACCAGCGCTTGGCACTCACTAGCGATACCTAATGTGAAAACAAAGATAAAGAGAACCATTATCATGCTCAAGCCAATTAGGTACCCGGAAGTTCAGGTTGTTTAAATTGTACCTTAATGCTTTAAATAAAAACATAAATTAATAAGAACCTACATTTGCTTTAATATTTTTACATTAGATTCCAATAAATATTCTAAATTGTAAAGCTACTTCTCTTCTCATAATATTTAATATGCTGTTAAACATTGCTTCTTTTGTAATATGCATTGTTATTATTTCAATTACAGAAAGGTAGATGTTAACAATTTACCTGCTTAAAACGTTATTTCAGGGATCCCTTCAAAAGAAGAATTTCTTGATCTCCAATTTTTTTGTAACGGTTTAACGTAAATCGTTATGCTCGAATCTCGCTGCTGGGGGTGACCTTACGAAACCATTAGTTAATTTTCGTTCGCACGTAAGCGGAAGGCTTGCTGGGATAACTGCTCTTTCTCGGGTTCTAAAAGAGTTTAATGACACTGATACTAATTTCAAAATTTAAATATAAATCGTCATCTATAATTTTACCATTTTATTCTTTTTTTTTGATATCGTACTACCGCGCAATCAATGTCACACTTCGTTGGACGAGACAACTCTTTATTGTTAGTATTTAATTTAATCATGCCTCAAAAACTATAAAACATTTATATTGTTTTTGAGGCATTATTTAGTTAAAGGCAAACCAAGGCACTACTATGCAGTAGGCAAAATGTGATCAGGGTATATTTAAACGTACTACATGATGATTTCGAGAGGGAAGGGGGGAGGGGGCGGCTTCAACATACTACTATTGATCACAGAGGCGGCGGGAGGGCTAAGGGGTTGTCAATATTATAAGACAAGCGCTGTATTAATTAAGACAAATATGAGCCTAACTACATATTCCTTAACTTTTTGTTCCCAAAAAAGAACAACTGAGCATATACCTACCACAGACGGTTACCGAGGCGGGGATTATATAAAAATGGGTCACGTAGTATCGGTACCTCACATCCATAGAGTTCGTTCGTTCGTTTTATAGACGTTGAAGTCGTTACAATGTCTTTAGTGATTTTGAATAATTTATTTATTAGGTAGTTTCTACCATTTTTGGAGAAAAAAACTGACCAAAATAAATTTTATTTTGTAATATCTTACAGTTGCACGAACGTGGATTCGTTGCAAGCCTTCGTCAACGTGGATGGGCGATTAGAAAAGGTGGCGACATACTGCGGAATCGACCTCCCTAAGCCTATAATGTCGAATGGACCGAAACTAATGCTGGAATTTCGTGGAACACAATCTTCGAGATACTCAAGAGGATTTAAAATATCTTATTCGTTTGTAGAAAGTGAGTATAAGCTCAGTAATATATTAACTGCATATTATTGAACTAACTCAAATGAATTTAATATTAGTAAACCGAACTTCCCTTATTTTTGAAACGGCGTGAGGAGTCTATGGACTCCCGATTGGAACGAAGTTCCTCAAGAAGTGTCGGGAAAAAGTCTTGTTACACATTTTTCGGTCTCGCTCCCATCTGCTCAGAGCGTGTAACGCGTGAAAAGGAACTTCGTTCCAATAACAAAAATAGTTAATTTTAGCTGTTTCCCGCAGTTCTATCTGCGTCTATAGTCACCACTTCACTGTTTATAATAGGCTTGTGTCCACCAATAACTTAATTAGTAATATTAAATAATTGTTTGGTTTATAGTTTCAAATTATAAAAGAAGAGACATAGATAAGAAAAAACCAGTCTATTTCTCATAAAAGTATTAATATTAAAAAAAAAATTTGAACAAAATAGTCACGTGACGGCGAACACCAATCAGAAAGTGTTACATCACGCCATGCAAAACATCATTGTTCTTGTTTTTTTAAAATTTAAATTGAAATTGAAATTGTTTTTTTTTTAATACAAAGTACGTAATGTAAATATTGCTTTTTCTTTAAAATATAGGTTTTTTTGGGATAAAATAGATTTCAAAGTATATAATTAACCAAGTTTTCAAATTGAGTCAACTAGCCTATTGTAACGTGGTGTTATCCAATACTTAAATATTTTTTCAAATCCGGGTAGTTGGAGATATTAGCATGTTAAAACAAAAAGGCAAAGACCTCTGTAGCTTTATTATATTGGCATGATTTTATTACAGTAGATGAATAATTCGTTAAGATTTATTCAACAAAAAATATCAGTGGAGTGCTAGTGTACCTACGGGCGAAAACTAGCTTTATTAAAATAGTTGTTACCTAAATGTTTAAAAAAATCCTTGTCATCAATATCATCTAATGCTTATTATTGGATTTTTTTTTAATGTATGAACGAAAAAGATGTTTGCTAGAAATATTTTAACTCGCGGCTTCATCACTTTGCAGATTTTGGAATAAACACAGGAAGACAGCTCAAAGAGTTTCCTTGTGCTTTCGTATACAATAGTAGTGAGGCGCGGAACGGCACGTTTGCGTCTCCTAACTCGCCAGGACCTTATCCCAGGGATACGGAGTGTACATATTTCTTCCACGGCGGCGAGACTGAGAAAGTGCACCTGCATTTTACAAATTTTGACGTTGAAGGAGTTTCGCCGTAAGTATAAAAATCTTTGATTAGATCTGCATGTTAATATTATAATATGCATATGTAAAGCTGCCTATGGATTTTATGGCGTAATACTGGTGCGACAGGTGGTTTGAGCCCTTGGTAAAAAAAACCCCTTAGGATTAGATTAGGCTTAGGATTTGCGAAATATTTATACATAGTCAGGAATGCAACAGTCAGCTTTTGATGTTATTCTGGCATATTTGAGGCATTTTCTTATGCTTTAACGTATTAATGGGTTAATTAATTGGTTTTGACTGCTAAACTCGTGAGTCGGTGCGATTCCAACCCAGAACAAATAATTGTGTCATAAACACGATAATTTGTTCTGTTTCTAGATATAATAGTTTGCAATACGTATCAATTCAGTTAGAAATAATATTATTAGCAGTCTGGTTAAAATACTACAGGCTCCGTGTCTGCTTTAATATTATTCACACGACCTTGTGTAAGAGGTATGTTTGAAGCCGTTATCGTTTTTAATAGTTTATGGTTTGTAGCAAGTGCACAGACTGGTTAAGGGAATAGGTACTTAAGATTTGTTATTAAAAAGGTTAAAATTAGATAGATTCGGTTTTGACATGACCTCTATTTAATAACAGCGACTAATTTAAAACCTATTTTTATTACAGGTGCGAAGCAGTGTCGGCGAGTGATTATGTCGAATTTTCGAACTATATGACTGAAGACAATAGGTTTGGTAGATATTGTGGGCAATGGAAAGAGTTCCACGTAGAGTCTGAAAGAAATTTCTTTAAAGTTACATTTAGGTCGAACGACCGCTTAGATGGTACAGGTTTTAAGGCCATGTACCAATTTTTAGAAGCCACTGACGAGTATCGAGCTCCTGCGGTACACGATAAGGCTTCAAAATCTCTCTGTAAGTATTAGGCACATAATACTGAAAAGTGTGTCACATAACCTGGATCTGGGAATCTGGTACATAAAATAGTTATTAGTATTGAGAGAACCATGATTAACGGAATAAGAATCAATATATTACAACTAGCAGCCTTTATAGAAAACGCCCTTGGATGTTAAAGCAGATCTTCTTAGTAAAATACTGGTTAAGAGAAGACATTCAAAATAGTTGAAATTGGACCGCCAAGCGATCTTTGGCATATTAAATTAACACTTTGTTTTCTTTTTTCCAGGTATATTTGAACGTTTTCTAATGCTGATCATCCTCGCAATACCACAACTGCATCATCAATTATATCATTAAATAAAGTGATATTAGATTAATTATTATAAATAGTCTACTCCTGTATATTTTGTAAAATAGTATGTGCCGTACACCTGTAATTACGTAGATATGGAATATTTTCTATAAACTCGCGTTTTATGTTCTCCTCTACTTACAAAATAAAGCAATACCATGCAACACACAATAAAGATTTATTCATAAAGGCACGTCGTAATAATAAAATAAATTATTTAAAATGATTTGCATTTTTAATATATAGGTACTATTTCACTTTCATCAACAGCCTTTAATAATCCTCTGCTGGACAAAGGCCTCTCCTTAGAAAAGAGGTTTTGGCCTCCAGACTACTCTCGCCAGACGGGTTAGTAAAAGGTTTATGTCAAGTTTCCTTCTCTGCAGTGCTGTTGTCCTGCGTAGTTTGCTAGTTGCTGTTAACAACCATCTCCACTTACCAATGATACAAGGACGATGGCTCAGCCAGCGGTGCCATATTTTGGAACTCGACCTCTGATTTGCAGTTTTAGGATGGATTCCGAGACGGAAAATATGTTCGCGCCACTGTTAATACATAGACTACGTCGTTTACGCTTATATTGAGTACATTCAAATTTAACTGATTCTACCTTTGATCAATAATATTATAATAGGAATAGTCCGAAATTGCAAAATGGATCAAAATTAAAATTTTGCACCTTTAAATGCATTTGTGCAAAAACTATGGGAGATACGCGAAAATCTGTTGATACCTTTTTTGTATGAAATTTAATTTTCTACAACTTTGTCTTAGGATTTTTTCTATTTTCCCAGCCAGTCGCGAGATATTGATGAAAAAGTCGTTTTTGCACCATTTTGCAATTTACTTGCACCCTTTGCCGTCAATGCAGCACCCTGCAATTTTAGTATATTAATCTACGAACCCTTACGGAAATTTTCGCGTTGGTTGGGTCATCAACTCAAAATGGCAAATGTAAGCTTTCATTGACTGGACTAGAATTTATAGGTTTAATTATAGCCTAAACGATAAGAATCGATTGTGATTAGTAGCAGATAAAATAGATTGCGTCGTAAATAACGCAGAACAAAGAACACATCGAAATAAATAAACTGGAAATCTCTAGCCCAAAACTAAGTGCTATACCTAGTAACATTATATTATTAATAATAAATTTATTTCAGACATTAGTCCATTAATGTGTTAGTAACAATCATCTTATAACTATGTTAGTTCTACATTACAAAAAAAAAACAAATTACAAAATAAGACATGCAGACGCATCCACCTTAGGGTCCGAGAGGTAGGACTAGAAAGTCCTACCTCTCGGACAATACTCTCAGGATGCCAATGGGCGTGCATAGCAGTCGATTGGACATTGACGCGTTTCGCTTCCTTATGATCGCATAAAAGTCATCGCAATGTGCCTCCGCAAACATGTTTGATGAGCTACAAAACCTCGCCAAATTCAATAGCACCCTGAAAGCATTGTTGTACTGGACACTTAGTGCGCTGTACGCCCGCTGCGTAAAGTTAGTCCACAGGCTGCACGTGTAGAAGGACTGACAATATGCTTTGAAAAGAGTAACCTTGACTGGTGTGGTACAACGTGCGAACCTGTGAGCCAACATATTACACCGGACAGACAGCGACCTACGCTCCATCTCAATATCAAGGTCATCTTATAAGTCATCGGCGACCCAATGCCCAAGGTACTTAAACTTATTTACTCTCTTTAAAGGAGTTCCGCAAAGGGTGACTGGAGATACAATTGAGTAGCATTTGGTACCAGCTTTAAAGATCATAAGCTCACTCTTTTTGGTATTATACTTGAGGCGATGAGTCGCCGCATATGTCTCACAGATACCTATTAACCTACGTAGTGCACCAATCGATGGGTTCAGCAACACCATGTCATTAGCGTAGGTTATATGAGTATTATTTATGCACACCTCATCAATAGAACAACCAATGTTTGTGCAACTGAACTCACCGATCAGGCCATTCCCATACAGATTAGAGAGACGAGGCGAGGATATACCACCTTGCCTCACGCCACACTCCAGCCTGTAAATGTCCAAACGCGCATCCGACCATCTTACCCTATTTTTCTGCTGACTATATAAATATTTAAACAGAGATACAATCTCACATTGTAGCTTCTGCCACAGCCTATCACAATTAACAAGCTCAAAAGCTTTTGAGAGATCTAAATAACAAGCGTATACAGGTGTATTTCAAGCGGTTTATTAAAGTTTTTATTGATGTTCTTAAAAAGCAATACATAAATTGTGCTCTGGATTGCGATTTTCATATATGTAGGCAGGTATGCATATCTAGACTCACAGGGGAACATACACAGATTCAAATACTCTCGGAGAATCCGAGGAAATGTAAAACGCTTCTCAAAAAAGTTTACCTTACAGAGGAATGAGGTGAAACTATTACAGACTGCATATACACGTATATGTGTGTGTATGTGTATGTGTGTATGTATATGTATGTATATATATATGTATGTGTGTGTATATATATATATATATATATGTATGTGTGTATGTGTATATATATATATGTATAAATGTAAAATGATGTATAAAAGGAAAAATTATAATAATAATAATCATCTGCAATGTACTACATACAAAGCGAGTGATGGCATTGATACATAAACCACCTTTTTTTTTCTTGACTGTTACTGTATTTACATGAACTGTAACCTTGTGCCATGAACAAATTAAAAAAAAAAATGAAAATTAACTTAATATATTAATTTGGTTTTATTGATTTTCACCAACTGGGTGAGCTTTTCGGTGCTCTAAATCCCGAACCCCCCAATTCGTGGTCTCAAAGTGCGGCAACACACTTCTGACTCTTACTTGCAGGTGTCTGTCGCTCCAGTTAAAGAAACTGCAAATTCCGTAGCTGGTAATTTCTCAACTTCTTATGCTTCTCCTATTGCACTTGTAGCGTATGTTTTGTTCTAAAATGAATTAATAGATGTATGTATGTATAGTGTTACGGAACAAATATTGTGTGCGTGCAGTATGCATATAAGGTATCTCCTTAAAATATCATTGCTCAACAACAAAAAAAAACAAAACGTTCTTATAATGTAGTATATTCACGAGTAAGAAAGGCTTGTAACAACATTGCCCTAACAAATGGGTAATACATTATTATGCTCAAAATCATTTATCATTTATCTATCCTCACAAATAAAATTACTTGCCCTGACTGACTGATTCATCAACGCAGAGGGAGCAGTGTCGATCATCTTTGAAGCAAGCTGTTGGAAGTGCTTGTCGAAGAGCCACCTCCCATCAAGAATTAAGGTTCAGGCCCAGATATTTCATCTGGGCCTGAACTGGTACGAGGACCGAATTGGCCACGACCGAGGCGCCAGGTCATGGTCCCGTAGGCCCAGGGCTATCCGTAAGCTTAGCGCCTCAATGCGCTCGACCATCAGAGAAACTCCCCTGGTGGCCAGGCGCGCCGTCTCTTGAAGATTATTAGGAATTTTATTATTAGGAGGAATATGTTGATATTTTGATTTCTTACGGATACTGCTAATGCGTATGCGCACGAGCCACCGGCAAAACAGCAAAACCTTTCTAAGGAGAGGCCTATTTCTTAACAGTTAAAGGCTGTTGATGATTGATGACGATAATCATCATCATCATTTAACAGTCAACTGAAACTCTTCCAATCCACTTATTACGATGATAAGAATCCATCTATTCTTTTACACTTCTCCTCTAATGCGCAGCACCATCCTTTTTTCTTTTTTTTTTTCCGTGCGGAAATCCTCTCGGATACCACCTATCGGTGGCATGTCGGACTCGAACCGACTAAAACCGCACGCCGTCTCGGGTACTAATAGCCGGGGAACCAGGTATACCCTAGAACGGTAGTCCCTGGTGCCCCGACATAGCTCGGGCCATCTACAGACGAGTAGACGACCAGCCCCCCGTGTGGAAACCCCATGTTCTCTCTGCTCCCTGGAAGCCACCCCGGCCTGCTTCTGCTAGGGTGACAGATGGCCTCACCTGTGACCCCCAGGCCTGCGCTAATGGAGGACGGATGTCGTTCTGCGACCTCCGGCGCCTGAGTCGCCTGCGGTACCTGGCCCGTACCCGGGCCTGGCGGGCCGGGAGAGTTCTAAACCTCTCCCTGTCCCGCTCCACCGTCTCCTTCGCGGGCATAACTTACTTGATGGAGACGGCAGAGTTCCACGCACTCTCGCTCTGCACGATAGCCGCAATCAGGCTATCGAGCGAGAGAACTCCCACTCCGATGGCCGCCACGAGGTCTCGCCTCTGCTCAACCCACGCCGGGCTCTCTGTCAGCGTGTGGAGAGCCGTGTCTACGGTCTGGCCATCGCAGTGGTGGCACTTAGGCGTTGGCTCCTTGCGGATCAGACACAGGTGATCCCTTTCCCAGTGATCACCTGCGTCAGTCGGTATGTGAGAGTCCGGCCCGTAAAGGGCCATGAACCGGACAACCCCCGAGTAGAGTCTCCTGCAGGAGTCATCGGGTCCCTTCATGTTGGGCAGCAGCCGCGCCAACGCACGCGCTGCCCCAACCAACTTGGGGACCAGACCTCGGAAATGATATCCGAAGTCCCATCGGCCATCGAGTACGAGCCCCAGATACCTGATCGAAGGCTCGATGCCGATGCGAGTGCCTCCTACCGTGAGGCAGGGCAGAGTGTTGAACGCGTTGGCGATGTCCAAAGACACAGCCAACACAACTTCGCCCCAAGAAACTGCTTCCTCCACCAGAGCCTTCACGCGCATGATCGCATCCACGGTGGAGCGCCCCTGACGGAAACCGTACTGGTTGTCCGTCAGATCCGGCCCCACCATCACGAGATGCTTGACAAGGCGCCATGCAATCACTCTTTCAAAGAGCTTGCACACCTCGTCAAGCAACACTATGGGCCGGTAGGCGGACGGTGAGTCCGCCGGGCGCCACTCCTTTCGGATGAAGACCAGTTTCCCCGTCTTCCACAATTTCGGAAACA